TCAACTGACATCCAGTATAGGTGATTCTTCAACTGACATCCAGTATAGGTGATTCTGCAACTGGCATCCAGTATAGGCGATTCTTCAACTGACATCCAGTATAGACGATTCTTCAACTGACATCCAGTATAGGCGATTCTACAACTGACATCCAGTATAGGCGATTCTTCAACTGACATCCAGTATAGGCGATTCTGCAACTGACATCCAGTATAGGCGATTCTTCAACTGACATCCAGTATAGGCGATGCTTTAACTGACATCCAGTATAGGTGATTCTTCAACTGACATTCAGTATAGGCGATTCTTCAAATGACACCCAGTATAGGTGATTCTTTAATATTACCACCCCCTCCCGCCACGCATGTCTTTCATGGCGACTAATTAGGGATTTTTCTTTTAAGTCGGAGTGCATCTGTCGGTACTAATCACTATAGTCACCCCCATCTGGCTCAGGCGTCAGATTTCGTGACGTTTCCAGGGGCTGTCCTATATTCTAGGGGTATTCTGAGAGCCTCCCTTCCCCGTCTATAAACACAGTGGAGAAAACTGGCTCGCGTTCGTTGGAAGTGGTTGACCTCCTGTCTCCCAAACAAAATTGTGCAGTTTTTTTTTGTTGGTCGCAACTGTCTTTTCTGTGAAAACTAGTTTCTCGAATGTTTTTTGTGTTTTTTTTTTGTGTGTGGTTTGTTTCTGAGTAGCTCGGGCGCCATAGATGCCTGTGTAAAAGGAAGAAGTACTGCAGGGGGCTGCGCCGAAATCTCGTGAATATCTAATTAATAGTGTTTTTGAATCTCTACGCTCGTTGGCGGTGTCTATAGTCGATGGTGGATGTGCCTAAAACGTTTAAAACAGACAACACCTGATACCCCTAGAACACAGAACAGCATGTGGGAACGATTACGAAATCACGCAGCCGAACGAGATGAAGGTGAAATTCATGAGTTGTACCCATCTGTCTGAGAGGTATGGAACTAACGGTCTGCATACAAATAAGCTAGATCTTTAAAATGGATGTGCATGCAAAACTCAAGCTCTGGAACAGTACCAAAATCCACCAGTGAACGAATAGTTAAAGCTTTTCGTCAAAGTATACAGCCGATTAACGCTAAGAAGAAAGAAAAAGAAGAAGAAGAAAAAGAAGAACGAACGAACAAACGAGGCCCGTCTTACATTGCGCCCTTTTAAACATTAATTTTTCACACAGCAGTTGTATTTTATCAAGGAAGCATGTTACATTCGTATACAACTATGGATATTATGAATACCAAGAAAGAAAACAAAAGCGTGGGTGGTAAAATGCATGGGCACACTCGCCCGCTCGCGCGCGCGCACACACACCCACATACAGAAGCCCATCCACCCACTCACTCGCTTACTCACTGACGCTCCTATGCACAACTACATACAGACACACCTGCATACATACACGTACGCCTATACAGACATACATATCACACATATACATGCCACACATACATGCATACATACATACATTTCACATCCAACACTGCCTACTGATGGTTGAATCCATATGCCTAGATTGATGGTTGAATCCAACACAGTGCCTAGTTTGATGGTTGAATCCAACACTGCCTAGATTGATGGTTGGATCCAGCACTGCCTAGATCGATATTTGAATCCAGCACTGCCTAGATTGATGGTTGAATCCAACACTGCATAGAATGATGGTTGAATCCAACACTGCCTAGATTGATGGTTGAATCCAACACTGCCTAGATTGATGGTTGAATCCAACACTGCCTAGATTGATGGTTGAATCCAACACTGCCTAGATTGATGGTTGAATCCAACACTGCCTAGATCGATATTTGAATCCAACACTGCCTAGATTGATGGTTGAATCCAACAGTGCCTAGATTGATGGTTGAATCCAACACTGCCTAGATTGATTGTTGAATCCAACAGTGCCTAGATTGATGGTTGAATCCAACACTGCCTAGATTGATTGTTGAATCCAACAGTGCCTAGATTGATGGTTGAATCCAACACTGCCTAGATTGATTGTTGAATCCAACAGTGCCTAGATTGATTGTTGAATCCAACACTGCCTAGATTGATGGTTAAATCCAACACTGCCTAGATTGATGGTTGAATCCAACACTGCCTAGATTGGTGGTTGAATCCAACAGTGCCTAGATTGATTGTTGAATCCAACAGTGCCTAGATTGATTGTTGAATCCAACACTGCCTAGATTGATGGTTAAATCCAACACTGCCTAGATATATGGTTAAATCCAACACTGCCTAGATTGATGGTTGAATCCAACACTGCCTAGATTGGTGGTTGAATCCAACACTGCCTAGATTGATTGTTGAATCCGACAGTGCCTAGATTGGTGGTTGAATCCAACACTGCCTAGATTGATGGTCGTTTTTTCAACGAGAATACAAGAATTCTGTCATGTAATTGTTGACTGACGTAACCTGGTACATCTGACCAGTCATGACACCTTTTTGTAAATCGATATTCAGCTGGTCAAACTAATGGCAGCGAGGCGCCTACGTCACATTTAGGTCAAGTCCTGGTAATGTAGTTTAGGCTTTCGATTTTTAATGGCGTCCTGTGTGTGTCGTCCTATCCATACTTCTATGTGAGTGTCAATCAATGCACCCCTTAACGTGATGAAAAACTACTGTCAAATATGATTTTTACTACTTGTTCCTAGTACAAATTACTGGTAGTTTGATCATTGCCAGTTGTTCTGTCTATAGAAGCCACGTAACATCTCAGTGACTATGTCAACAGCTGTATTGTTGTACGTCAAAGAAGCATAACTATATTCTACTGTATACAACAAGTGTAACTATATTGTAGTGTATCAAATAAGTATAACTATATTGTACTGTACCCAACAAGTGTGACTATATTGTAGTGGATCAAACAAGTATATATGGTAGTGGATCAAACAAGTATATATGGTAGTGGATCAAACAAGTATATATGGTAGTGGATCAAACAAGTATATATGGTAGTGGATCAAACAAGTATAACTATATTGTCTCAGCTTCTGGTGTAGACACTGCTAAATATAGGAATAAGATAACTAATCTACATCTCAGGGCCTCACAGTCTGCAGGGGCCTCTCCACAAATACTTATGTTTTCACAAATACAGTTTCCTTTTAATGCATTTTTAAAAACAATTTCTTAAACAGATTCTAATTTTATTAATAAAATTTTGGTATATTATCCCAGGCTTCGATTTATTACAACTTATTATAACCTATTTTAATGAAATAACAGAATCAGCATAATGTGCCTCAACTTCCATCTTTTATTAATTTTTATATGTATTTTTTTTTTAAATTCACTGGACTGACAAAGTGACGTTTAACCAGGACCGCACGACGTGCGATAAACTCCGGGTGACACAAAGTGCCACCGTTCGGATGAGTACCAGAAACCCTGTTCAGTCTGTAGGTTTTACATCCCAAAAACAGAGGGGCTTTGAAGTAACTGCGCCCCATATTGGGACGGGGTTTTTATAAAATTACCCGGTGTTTCTTCTTCTTTGTTCACCCGCTGTAAGCTCCGGCGGAAAGTCCTGGTGGTTCGTCCATTTAGACATTGGCTTTGTGCGTGTACATCCGATTTGCTGACTTACTTGTGGGCATTTAGTTGTTCCTTGCCGCTCTGGTAGATGTACTCTGACTTCGAAGGAAGTCCCCGGTTAGTCGACTCTTACGATATGCTTGCTGGGAAGGCAGTGAGTATATTCTTGTTTTCCCAGGAACCCACACAGGGATAACTGGTGTAGATATGAACCTGTTAACTGTCGGCCTTTCAGCCAGACCCTCGCCTCACAGTGCACACAATGTCAGGTATGTGCTGGCTTCATCCTGTACGGGCATTATCTGTGTTTGTTCAGCCCTCGGTTTAACAGGTTCAAATAATTTCCCGGCAACCACCATCCAGACCAAAACCTCCCAGTTTATCGATGTCCCAGGACAATGATTGACCCGGTTTGTTCTCAGCCAATCAACGAGTGGGGTAGCGTGAGTTGTATTTTTAGAAGTGATTCACTGGAAATTTCTCTGATTGGGCCGCAGTCCGTCAGCTCGTTCGCTGTTAATCAACAGTCGGTGTTGAGTGTGAGCAGTTGCACAAGACAATTGTCACATTTGGCGGGACAGACAGTGCTTGTTGCTATGGTGTATGTTCTTAAGAAGAGTTTATTTTCGTGTGAAATGTTGATTGTTTCCAGAGGATTCCCTGTTCTAAGTTTAGCAACACATTAGCTAGACAAGTCTCCAGAACTTGAACCTTTGAATTTTGGATTACGTTGTGTGTGTTCATCGTTGTTTTGGGGCAACAGGTAAGCATATTTATGAGTTACTTTACAGTAGACAATGAGCCCTTAATTAGATCGGCAACAGAGAACTTGGCAACAGTGGCTTAGCAATGTCCGGTTGTAACCGGTGCAGAATATATTTTGTCACCACTCCTTACTCTTTCTCCTCAAGTATTTTATTATTTTTAAAACAACGCGTTTTTGCCATATCCCCCCCCCCCCACCCCAACTTTCCCCCTTTTTAATGATGACACTCGGGGCAGCATGCAGCCCAATTCTACGCTACTTCTTGGCAACTGCAGGCTTCTTCAGCTAGGCGTGCCGCCACCAAGTTAGCAAGAGAAAAAAGTAGGGGGGGGAGGGGTGCCGCTCAACAACCCTACCCTGAAGATAAATATTAAGAAAACGCTCGTATGTGTGGGGGGTATATGAGAAAAAAAAGTGGTGTGGGGTGGGGGGGGGGGGGGGGGGGGGGGGGGGGGGGGTGGGGGGGGCGGGGGGGGGGGGGGGGGGGGGGGGGCTGAGCGCTCCTAACCACTCAGTAATTGTGCAAGGAGGCTGAGAGGCATGTACAGAAATTAATTGTTAAAACATTTCCTATTGAATTTCATATAAAGTATCTTGTTATATTTAATTAGCACGTTATTATTTCAATTCGTGGTTACAGGGCTACAGACCTTTTCAGTCATTTGGGGAGTGGGTGGGGGGGGGGGGAGGGTGGGACTCGAGGTATCTCGGTGATGCAGTGACTAGACATCGCGGTGGTGTAATGACTAGACATCTCGGTGGTGTGATGACTAGACATCTCGGTGGTGTGTTGACTAGACATCTCGGTGGTGTGATGACTAGACATCGCGGTGGTGTAGTGACTACACATCTCGGTGGTGTAATGACTAGACATCTCGGTGGTGTGTTGACTAGACATCTCGGTGGTGTGTTGACTAGACATCTCGGTGGTGTGATGACTAGACATCGCGGTGGTGTAGTGACTACACATCTCGGTGGTGTAATGACTAGACATCTCGGTGGTGTAGTGACTAGATATCTCGGCGGTGTAATGACTAGACATCTCGGCGGTGTAATGACTAGACATCTCGGTGGTGTAATGACTAGACATCTCGGTGGTGTAGTGACTAGACATCTCGGTGGTGCAGTAAATAGACGCTATGGTGTTGTAGTGACTAGATATCGCGGTGGTGCAGTGACTAGGCATCGCGGTGGTGCAGTGACTAGGCATCGCGGTGGTGCAGTGACTAGATATCGCGGTGGTGCAGTGACTAGGCATCGCGGTGGTGCAGTGACTAGATATCGCGGTGGTGTAATGACTAGACATCTCGGTGGTGTAATGACTAGACATCTCGGTGGTGTAGTGACTAGACATCTCGGTGGTGCAGTGAATAGACGCTATGGTGTTGTAGTGACTAGATATCGCAGTGGTGCAGTGACTAGATATCGAGGTGGTGCAGTGACTAGACGCCATGGTGATGTAGAGACTAGACATCATGGTGATGCAGTGATTAGATACCATAGTGATTAGACCTATTGGTGGGGAATGTGTAGACTTATGATTGGACCTTAGTGGTAGGGAATGTCTGGACCTATGATTTGACCGATGGTTTACTCCATGGTAGGGAATGATGGGACCTATGATTTGACCTAGTAGTAGCTTATCTTTGGAACTATGATTGGACCTAGTTGTAGGAAATGTTTAGACCTAATGGTATCGAATGTCTGGAACTAGTGGTGGGAAATGACTTGACCTAGTGACGTGGACTGAGTGGTCTTAATGGTAGGGGATGACTGGACCTAGTTGTGGGAAATGATTGGACCTAGTTGTGGGGAATTATTGGACCTAGTTGTGGGGAATGATTGGACCTAATAGAAGGGAATAATAGACCTAATGGTATAGAAAATCACTGGACTTAGTAGTAGGGAATGACTGGTCCTAGTCGTAGGGAATAATTGGGCATAAATGTAGGGAATGATTGCACCTAATTGTGTGGAATGATTGGACCGACTTTAGCGAATGACTTACCTAGCAGTAGGGTGTAATTGGGCTGAAGGCTAGGAAATGACTGGACCCTGTTGCAATTAAACATATTATTGTACAGCTTTCACTATACTTATTTTAGAAAAATTTTGTTTTCCATTTCTAGCTGGAAAAATACAGAATAAAATGGTTCAACAATGCTCCAGTGAAAAGAATACTACCAAGAACAGTCAAGAACGAAATTGCCTGTTGACAACGGAAACCACTCGCCTGAATTCTGCAGCACTCCAAGCGAAAGATACAAGTGGAATTCTCGCTTCTTTAGACAATCCATCAATGGGTTCTAGAGTTGGTTCATCCGATTTCGAGGCTGTGACAAGTTTCCAGTGCTCTCAGCCTGGATGCCGCCATGTTAGTGACCGGATCAACGGGAACCAAAAAGAAACCACCAACGCCTCCACCTAAACCAGAAAAGAAGAAAACCAAGGCGGTTAACTTCAAAGACGAGCTGAGTGTCACCAAAATGAACATGTCATCAAATGTTGCTACAACAAAGACAATTAAAGATGTTACAAATAAAGAAGAGCTTTCTTGTAACGTTTACGATCAGCAGCTACCGAAACGTCTCTCTGAAATGAAGACTGGGCAAGCAAAACCTGATAGTTTGTACTCGCTGACGCCAGCTACGAACATGGTTACAATTAGAGGAACAGACAACACTCATTCCCTAATATTAAACCAGCAAAGAGCCACTACCAAATTCCCTAACTCATTTGTGGCAAGCAAAAGAAAACAGATTTTGCCGCGGTCTGCTACTCTGTCCTTAAATAGCCACCCCTCGCTGTCGTCAGCCACGTCAACCTGCTCTGATACGTCGTCAGAGAGCTCCACGCCAGCCATTATGCATGACGCTGAAGAAGCTGTGACTTCATTCCAAACATTAGCTACCATGGAAGGACAAAGTAGCTTTCCTTTCAATCGATCTCTTGGAACCACGTTCAACAGATCATCAACAGGCTCTACAACCTCATCGGCCTCGTCTCACTCTTCTAGAACCTCAGTGTTGTCAGGATCTTCTCCTGTATTTGTCAAGATGCACTTAAGTTCTGCGAACGGACAGTCTCCAGTCCAGCTATCACCTTCAATCTCGTCACTGTCTTCATCGTCATCACAGGGCGTCAGCTCCCTCGACATGTCCTCAGCTTCCTTCCATGTTCCCGACGTGAAATGTGCAGAAGTCATCCCAGAAGTGCCAGAGTATGACGAGGTGAACGCCTCATCTTGTGACAAATGCTCCGAGGGAAAGTGTCGGACAGTCTACCTTCACATACCAGGCAGGTGTTTCTATTGTCTATGTGTGTGCGTGCATGTCTATGTGTGTGCGCGCCTGTCTATGTGCATATTTGACACTTTCTTGTTATTTTACTTTACTTGTTATTTTATTTTTCTTTCTTTCTTTTGATGTCAAGGTAGATATAAGGTTCCGATTCTGACCGCCTCGACCATAGACCTATGGTGTGGTTTTAGAGTTTCCCTGGTGTTATCTTTCCATATGATTTTTGGTCTATCCTGTGCTCTAAGTTCTTCTCCTCTGTTGACGTAAACTGTGTATTTTATGGCGTCATAAAACGTTCTTGCCAGGGCGGGCAAATTATTTGATTTGTTGTCTTTGTTGGCTATCAAATTCACCTCACTGATCTCCACCACTTCAGTGAACTTTTTTGACATCACGGTTAGCTTCGATTTCCCGTGTCTGAAGACCACAGCCTACTACAAACCCACGGATTCTCACAGTTATCTATTCTATACGTCGTCTCACCCACTGCTGTGTAAAAATTATATTCCGTATTCACAGCGCCTTCGATTGCGCAGGTTGTGCTCTAATGATTCTGACTTCGTTGATAATTCAGTTGAACTTCTTGATTTCTTTCGTGCCTGTTTCTATCCGGAACACATTCTACAAGGGGCTCTAAACAAAGTTTTAACAATCACCAGGAGAGATGCTTTTCCTACCAAATGTAACTCCACCAATGATGGACCTAAACTGATTTTGACTTTTCACCCTAACAGAGTGGTTGCTTCCAAAGTATTCTTTCGTCATTTGGACATCCTCCGCTCTGATCCGGACACCAAGATTATCTTAAGTGAGAAGCCAAGATTAGTGTATAGACTTCAACTTTAAAGACATACTTGTCAGAAAGCCGACTACCGCCGAACCGCACAGCGCTTCCTTCTGGAACTATTGATTGCTCCCGCTGCACGTGCAATATATGTCCTTTCATTGTCCAGACATCTTCGGTCAGTTTCCCTAATGGTTCTTTTCAAATAAGGAAACCTTTTACTTGCGAATCCCGTAACTTAATTTATGTAAAAATCTGCCAACGATGCAGCTATTATCACAGTCCACTGTCACAACAGTGAGCTACTGTCCCTTTCCACTGTCATAACGGTAAGTCACTGTCCACTGTCACAACGGTGAGCCTCTAACATGTCCACTGACATAACGGTAAGCCACTGTCACTGTCCACTGTCATAACGGCGAGCCTCTAACATGTCCACTAACATAACGGTAAGCCACTGTCACTGTCCACTGTCACAACGGTAAGCCATTGTCACTGTCCACTGTCAAAACGGCAAGCCATTGTCACTGTCCACTGCCTTAATGGTAAGCCACAGTCACTGTCCACTGTCACAACGGTAAGCCACTGTTACTGTCCACTGTCACAACGGTGAGCTACTGTCACTGTCCACTGACATAACTGTAAGCTACTGTCACTGTCCACTGTCATAACGGTAAGCCATTGTCATTGTCCACTGTCATAACCGTAAGCCACCGTCACTGTCCATTGTCATAACGGTAAGCCACTGTCACTGTCCACTGTCACAACGGTGAGCTACTGTCACTGTCCACTGTCACAACGGTAAGCTACTGTCACTGTCCACTGTCACAACCGTGAGCTACTGTTACTGTCCACTGTCACAACGGTGAACTACTGTCACTGTCCACTGTCACAACGGTGAACTACTGTCACTGTCCATTGTCACAACGGTAAGCCACTGTCACTGCCCACTGTCATAACGGTAAGCCACTGTCACTGCCCACTGTCATAACGGTAAGCCACTGTCACTGTCCACTGTCCTAAAAGTAAGCCACTGTCACTGTCCACTGTCACAACGGTGAGCTACTGTCACTGTCCACTGTCACAACGGTAAGCTACTGTCACTGTCCACTGTCACAACCGTGAGCTACTGTCACTGTCCACTGTCACAGCGGTGAACTACTGTCACTGTCCATTGTCACAACGGTAAGCCACTGTCACTGCCCACTGTCATAACGGTAAGCCACTGTCACTGCCCACTGTCATAACGGTAAGCCACCGTCACTGTCCACTGTCCTAACAGTAAGCCACTGTCACTGTCCACTGTCACAACGGAAAACCACTGACGTCCATTAGATCAGTACCGCCTCACACGTGATGAAACAAATGAACTGATCCTACGCGTTCTTGCTGCCATCGTTCCATATTTTGTATGGTGTTCTTCTTGCTCCTTGGCCGTGATATTTCTCCAGCTGGCCATTCTGTGGCAGATAGTACCACGGCATTCTCGACAGATGACCAGATCATCTCATCAGCCGCTCTTTAATATTACTGTTCCTGACATTTTGTTTTTGTAGAGTCGAATCCACAATGCCACCTTTCATTTGTCGTTAAGTAAGTTCCATTCGAAACGACTTGGACTGGTGACCCGAGCAAACAATTGCCTAGGAGTTGGTTCGATGAACCTAACAGACAGACAAGCCATTACACGTGGAACAAAACAATCAATGAGTGTATTTTTGCGGGCTCCATAATGTTTTACCACGATCTCTTCCTAAATTCTAGGTTAAAGTCCCCAGCCAGATCTTACACCCCGATGAACAAAACCACCGGTGTACAGTACTGCATCCTGTAGTCCAGCCTTTCCATCTATCAGTTGTTGTACCTCTAAATCTGCCATACCGTTACATTCTCTTCCTAACGTGATAATGACCTGATGGAATCTGCTGTTGTGGGTGTACTTGTCGACCCATTCCTGCCCCCCTGTGTATTTGCTTGACTGAAGCCACCGTCTCGATGGTATCTTCAGCTAGTGCCATCCATGACCTTCCTCTTTTCAACCGGTCTCCTCTTAAATCTTCCAGATTACCATGCAGCGGATGCCTTTCATCATTGGTAACTCGCATATAGGCCTTGGCTTGCGCCACTGACACTTTATAAATTACTAATGTCAGCCCAGTCACAAACCTAATTGTTCTAACTGATGTATCTCGGAGGCAATAAAAGACCATTCTCATTTCTTTATTTTTAATCCGTTCAAGCGTTGTACATCGTGGAATAGATGGGGTTGAAATTCCTAGGCCATTATCAACTATTAAAAGGACCAAATGGTTTAATAATTAGACCAATAATCTCTGAGGTTTATGAAATAAGTCCATTGGGCCGCTTGAC